GGGGTGGGTTTTTGTTTTGGGCCTGGGATTCTGACTAAATTGGCCCAAACCAGATTTTCCTCTTCTTATTTTCTTTTTCTTTTCAATTTTCTTTTTAATTAAAATAAAAATACAAACCTAAATTTAACCTTGACCAAATTATCCTAAAAAATATTAATTAATTCTAAGTAGTTATTATCACAAATAACTAAATACCTAATTAAAAGAAAATCATACCATTTTGACATTAAACGCTAAAATGCGAAGTACGTTATTGTTTTGTGATTTTTTCATTTTTGTAAAACAACTTACTTAACTAATCCTAATTGGAAAATTAAATCTTAAATGCAAACGCAACATATTTTTGTATTTTCATTAATTTAACAAATAAACATGCACAGACAAATGCAAACAATAACAGAAAATACCGCAACAATCCACAAAATTGCAAACAACGGAAAAATTATTTTATTTTGAATTTTTTTTAGAGTAATTCACATAGGGCAAAAATCACGTGCTCACAGCTTGTTGAAGTCTGCCCGTGGACTGCCTGTCACTGTCATGGTCCGCATGACATTCAAACAGAGTGCGGAGAGGTTAGTTGAAAGGCATGGAGCTGCATCGGCATTGATGGACAGGGGTGTTCAATTTATGCCAATACCCATGAGAAGATTTGAAGGGTACAGGAGGCGAGCACAGTGGCATTCGTTTCTACAGTACGATGATGACCGGGATGTTTTTGAAGTTAAGACCGCTATCCGCGGACACCGTGGGAATAATCTACAAACGGTGAATGAAGCCAGAAGGTTTTGTTCATGTGGTAAATGGACCATCTACCACATGTCGTGCGCACATGCGTTGAAGTGCTTTCAACAAGTTGGATATGGGGCAACCAACTATATTGATAGGCAATACAATGTTGTTGAGTACGTAGACACGTATAGCGGGCAGTTGCAGCCATTAGGTGCTGAGCATTATTGGCCGCCGGAACCTTTTAAGATGGTATGTAACAAGGACTATTTACGCAAGCTGCAAGTGAAAAAGAGAACACGTATACGGAACCAAATGGATGTTGGTGACACCGTTTATGCGCGTAAATGTGGCATATGCTCGCAGCCAGGACACGACCGTCGTAAATGTCCTTCAGGTGGTGTGCGTGGCGGTGGTAATTCAGCTCCTGGTGCAAGTTCGTCGAATGTACCCAACTATCAAGGATACCCCTAATCTTTTGTTTTGGTTTTTTTTTAATATGTGTCTGTACTTGTGTTTGTTAGTTTAAGGAATTAAATTAAAAATTATTGAATTGGACTGAATAATTATGTATGGGTTTCAGGCTCGATATTTGACGTCCGGTAGCACCAAGTTATCCTTAATTATTATGCGTGTCAATTTCAGCATTTTTACAATTTTGTTAATTTAATAAATTAAATAATTAATTATTGAATTGGACTGAGTAATTATCTATGAGTTCCAGGCTCGATATTTGAGTTAATTTGACAACATATATTAATTTTTTACTTTTGAAAGATTATTTTTATAAATTAAATAATTAATTTTGTAAAGTGTAATTGGATAGAGTTTGCAGTTACTACATACTTAAACTACAGAGACTCTACGCTAAAAGACTCTATATTTTACTACGCTAAAAGGCTATATATTTTACTACGCTAAAAGGCTCTATATTTTACTACGCTAAAAGGCCACTATTACATATAAAAACAACAAACATAACATACAAATATGAACAACAAACTAAATAAATAATATTTATTTATTATTTAAGCAAATAAAAACATAACATTAACAATAAAAATTATTTATCAAATTTTAATAATTTTTTGTCCCAAAGCTAATAAATCAATCCGGGTATAAATAAGATACAAATTTAAACACAAACATAACACGGAAACATATTCAACAATACAAATATGCATGTACTATACGAGTTTCGTCATAAACAAAATCGAAATACCTTGATTTAAGTTTTTTGAAATTGATTCAAATCGAATTTTTGCACCCGAATGAAGGAATCCAAAGCTTGTCTTTTGTGCGGGACCTACACTCTTTGCTTTTTGGGTCAGGGTGGGGCCCAAACTTTTTTTAAAAAATTTGACGGGGGGGACCAGCAGTGGAGCAGGGGTGTTTTTTAATGGAGATAACGTTATGTCGTTGTCTTGGGGAAGAAGAAGGGCTTTATTTTATTAAAGGAAAACGCAGTATAATACTGTGTTTCCCTTTAATTAAATATAGGTGGGCCCAATATTAATAGGGAAACGCAGCACAATTCTGCGTTTAAATTAATTTATACTGCATTTTCCTTAAAAAAATTAATTTTTTAATAATACACAGTATAGTACTGCGTTTTACTTTAATGGCTAACTTTCCGTTAAAGTAAAACGCAATATTATACTGCGTTTTAGTTATTTATGTAATTTTTTTTCTAATAGTAGAAATGTATTTTTTTGCCCAAAAAGGCATTAGAAAAGTTTCGGACTCAAAAAAAAAAATTCACTTACTTGTTGTGTTGTAACTATGCCTTTGTCTTTTAGCTCACCGTTGAGGAAAAAAAAAATTCTCCCTGTTGTGCTATACCTGTGCTATAGTCATTTAGCTCACTGTTAAGGAGAAAAAAATTCTCCTTGCCCATGCTTTTGCTGCAATGCACGGGACTTAGAAAAAGAAAATCTTCTCTAGCAATTTGTACAGTGTCCATGCGTTCAATTACCTTTTTTTTTTAATTACAGTTACAACAATTCGTGGAATTTTTCAAGCTAATTCCTTCTCGGGTTACCTTACTTACTCCACGAACTTCGCAGCTGTGTATTAATCCTGCACGACAAACAAAACTAATCAACTAAAATTAATTTACTACAACTAAAATAATCTAAATAAAATACCAATAAGGACTTAAAGTCGTGGGTTTTCTCTCACGCAACGCCTTATTTAACGTCGAAGCATGATGCAGGCTTTCAGGATTATGTTTCGCTCACATATTGAGGTTCGTTCAAGTACATCACATCTTTCTCTCCTTTTTATTCAATCATTTCAAGATAGTGTTTCAACATTTGCCCATTCAGTCTAAACCTGTTAGTCCCATCTTCGGACTTTATTTTCACGGCTCCATTTGGGGACAGTTGCACAACTCTAAATGGTCCCAACCAACTAAATTTTAGCATACCCGAAAATAACCTCAATCTCGAGTTATATAACAACACCAAATCTCCGGGTTTAAAGTTTCTCTCTAGAATTAATGTGCTTGTCGTGCATCATCTTCATCCTTTTCTTATACAATCTTGTACTCTCGAATGCATGGAATCGAAACTTCTCAGGTTCATGCAACGCTGTAACTCTACTTGTGCCAGTTGTTTCCATATCCAAATTCAACTGCTTCAAGGCCCATAAGGCTCTATGCTCAAGCTCCAATGGTAGATGACAATTACCAAGTTACCTTGTTGGCTCAATAAGGTTGAATACATAACCCTTTGATGTTCGGCCAAAAATGCATAAATTTAATCATTATTGTCTCACATTGTAGTACTTTTAATCGTCTTTGAGTATTAATCATATTACTATATGCGTAATATTATATTTTAACTGTATAGGAATAAAGCGGTGTGAAGATGAAGAGATTTGGAGTAAAATTGAATAAAACGCGAAAGAAAAAGAAAAGAAAATAAAACAATTAAAAGAATAAAATAAGGAGGAGGACACCCTTTAAATTGGTATGACGAAACTGCAAGAAACAACAGAGAAAGCTCTGAAATTTTGCCAAACAATTACTTCTTAATTAAAAAAAGAAAAAAGAAAAAAGGTTTCCTCCTTTTGTCTTATTTTAATAAAGTTTCTTCCTAGGAAACATCCTTGTGTTATACAGCCATATAGCTCTTCTTTGACACCATCAATCCAACAAATACTTAATTAAACGACATTATTAATTAATAGTAAACTACTAGTAATTTATTTTAATTAGAGAACATCATTCCAGAAATGATTCTGTTACGTTGGAAATCACTTAGAATAAATAAACTAGCCATCCTCGTCAAATCATCAAAAGTCAAGCCAAAGATATCTACAACCGTTGAAAGGGATATATATATATATATATATATATATATATATGCCTTCAAAAGTATCTGGCGGTGTTATATATTTTTATGATATCAAACGATTTAAAAAGTACTAACAATTTCTCTCTCTTTTTCTTTGACAAGTTCTGAGGACACCTGATAAGAGCATGAGTTACAAGTTTATATGCGTTTCTAGAATAATTAGTATATTTATTTTGACCATATCTAATAATATGACCGGTGGGGGAGCCACGTGCACCCAAGGGTGCCCATTCGTCGGAATTACACCGTTTAATTCGGTAATTTTTAAAAATATATGCATATATACTATATAATGACACTCCTTGACTTTTTGGTAAGTTTATTTCTTTATATTTTGACCCTCCTTAATGAAAATTCTGGTTCTGTCACTGATTATACAACAAAAAAAGACTTTCTTTTAAAATGTGAAAAGGAGTACTAGATACTCCCGATATTTGCTTCAACAAATATAGGATGATAATGGGAGTAATTAATTTCGTGCGTGAATTTGTTTTGTACTAGTTAAGGTATAAAGTATAGGGGTGTTTGGTCGGGAAACAAGTTATCCTAAAATTAATTATTCCAGGATTATTATTTCATTTTCCCATAGAAATAAAAATACACTACAATCTCGGGATAATGAATTTTGAGATTAGTTATACCGCAATTTTATTTCAACCAAACGTGAAATAAACTCATCTCAAATTTAATTTTGGGATAAAATTATCTCTTATTCCTCGTACCAAACGAGCCCTAAATATATTATCAGCTTCTAGCGTGACTTGTGACGTTAAAAAACACATAATTTAATTTATATTTTCTGACACGGTTTTGCCTCATTCCTTATTTCCTAAGACATTTCCCTTGAAATTAAATTAAAGTGTGCTTTCATTTCAAATATGATGATCTTCTATAAATGAAACACAACACATTCTAAATGACAGAACAAAATTCAAAAAATGGCATCATCAACTTCTATTCTTTCAATACCATCACTTCCATCCAAACTATTTTCTCAAAGAAGATCGATACATACAAGAATAATGACTTTGGCTATGAAAAGAGAAGCCAATGATCAAAACGATTATAATGGTGGAAATGTGGACGAAAACATGATTATACTTAGAAAAAGGATTCAAGAGATGAAGATGATTGAGAAGAATTACGAGCCACCAGCAGAGTGGATGGATTGGGAGAAGAAGATTTATGGGAATTATAATTCGAGTATTTGTGAAGCTATGGGATTATTGCAATCTTTGTTGATGAATACAAGGCCAAGCTTGGCTTTAGGGATGGTTGTACTTGTTGCATTGAGTGTGTCCACATCAACTTTTGTTGTGCTTTTTCATCTCGTAGAATTTACTAAAAGGGTTTTGGCTGGTGTTCATATTTGTTAAAGACTCAATAGCAGAAGTATATGTAGAAAAGATGAAGAAAGTTCTTTGTTTTTTTATTTTTTGTGCGACTACTATATGTATATGGCTTTAAGATTGATTCTTTTGATTTGTTAATATCATTTGAAGATTCAAAATTGAAATGAATAAGAAAATGCTATTTGTTATTTGTGGGTCTAGTATATTGAATATGTATAAAGTTGATTTTTTTTCGTTTTGTACTTGTGATTTTTTTAAAGTTCCATTCATGATATGAATTCTTTGATCCTATCCTAATTATTTCTTTTCCTTTTTGCAAGGGAGAGTTAGACATACAATAATTGAAACCTGAAGAAGCAAATTTATTAATGGTGGCCACCACACTTTACTTTTTAATTATAGCTTGAGTTTATAAAAGGGAATCTCACAAAAATTTTCCAAAAAAGTCCTAACTTGTCAACATCTAGTCATTAATCATAGACTTACCAAAATAAGCCAAGCACATATAAAAATTAGAAATCCAAAGAAATAAGGTTCGTTCTCTCCAAGAATCACACACAAATATCTCCTTCCATATTTTTTTAAGCTTGATTCGCAACATTAAATGCAAGACGGAAAAGAAATTTCATGGATGGGGTAGCAAATAAGGTGATGATATATATATATATATATATATATTTCAAAAATCTAAGAAAAATGGACTTTTTTAATGGGTATTTGAGATTCATTGAAAATATATAGAAGAGTCAATATACAAAATTTGAGGAAGATTGGAGGTGATTTGGCTGATTTGGTATCTTCGTAGTTAAAATCGAGTTAAAAAAATTCTCCCGCCACACATGTATCTCATACGCATGTATATACGGATATACATGTGATACATATTTGATATAAATATGATACATATGTGATACATAGTGTGATACACCTATCCTTTTTTTCAAGTTCAGCTTCTATTTCGAATTTTCAATTCAAACCACCTCAAAACTCCGCCAAATCATCTCAAAATTGAGAAAAAATTGAGATCCATGCTCCTTAAGATGTACTCAATCTATTCTAATAACACTCACTCAAAAGAAAGCAAAAAATTGACCTTTTTTGTCTACAAATATCTAATTGGCTAATATTGATAATATTTGGCTAATATTAGTAATATTTTATGAATTGCCCAATTTATATAATAAGCTACTTATAAATGGACATAATTGATATTTTCCTTTTATAAAATTAGACCAAACTCAAAAAAAAAAAAAAAAAAAAAAAAAAAAAAAAAAAAAAAAAAAACATGACCCAATTAAACACATATCAGCTTAGCCCAACCTATTAGCTTAATGGGTCATGAGTTCTGTAGAGCTTCAGTACCAAAAAAATCGGACCCGAAATCCAGCCACTTATATGGGCCAGGACTAGAGGCCCACGGGCTAAACCCTTATTCCGGATCAGCCCAGTTGACATGCCTAGTTACGACCATCAAGAGATTTTTAGGGGAAAATCAGAAATAGTCAGTTACAACTCATAATTGAAAAATAGCCACAATTTCAAAAGTAATAGAAATTTAGCCAGTTTTTAGTGTAAAGTAAAAATTTGAACAAAAGCACCCTTAAGAATTCGAAAAAACTTCAGCATAATATGTTAGAGTTCGAATTTTTTTACATATGAGATTCCAGCATAATATGCTGAAATTCATAATGTGTTGGCGTTCCAACATAATATGCTGGAAGTTTATATGCAGGAACCATGGGTGGCTCGACTATAAAGCCAGTAAAGCAATCGCTTGGGGCCCAACTTTTTGGGGGCTACATTTTTTTTTTGTAAAGATGTATTATTAAAAAAATATATATGTGTACATTTAAATTTAAATAGAAATTTTGGAGCGAAAGTAAAATAACTTTAATGAGAGGATCGCTGTAATAATTAGAGAATAGAATAATTTTTAATGAATTGTTTTCTTACATGAGTAGGGTAGCTTTTTTTTTTGGACTCATTTATATCCTAAGAACTAATACGGGCCCACACTCCAAATAAATTTTTTGTGTGACGTTTAATGAATATATCTTCAATATGTTTTCCTTATCAAAATGAAACAGATCATGCCGTGAGCTATTTTAGAAAGTTATTATTCCTCCTTCAAGTTTTAATCATTCATAAGTGTCTGATTCTTTGCTTTATCCATATTTATAAGGCCATGAGATCAGTAGAATTGAACAGATTATTGTTACAGAGGACCTTTAATTCGTTTGTGTTTTATACTATAAACACCAAAATTGAGTTTTTACGCCGTCTGGTAATTAAACTGGTCAAATCATGAATCCAACTTAGTGAATATTAGATAGTACTAAGAAAACAAAACCATCAACTTGTTGTTTGAAGTTCTATATATATTATTTTGTCCTTCAAAATTAACTGCATTTTTGGATGAAAAATTAGCATCCCTAATTATTTGGAAATTACACAACAAGTATGCTTCTTCTTTTTTTGAGTTACAGAAAACAGTTCAAACAAACATTTCTTTTGATTGATGTTTAGTTGCATTATTTTTCAAAATGCGATGTGTCGGGACAACCCCACATCCATATGGCTTGGGGAAAATTGATGGCTGGAGTAGATAGAAAGGTGATTACAGAACCAAAACTATTTGTAATTTTATTGTTCCCATAAGTTGTATATTTTGTATTTGATTTATACACAATAAAAATAAATTTCATACAACTAATTATATATTATACAACTTATCTACAATTTATCCACAACTTTCACACATTATTTCTATCCAGTTAAATACAACTACATTAACATACAACTTAAATACAAATTTTATATAATATGTCTTTTGTATATTTTGTATATGATTTATACATAGTAAAAACAAATTTCATACAACTAATTATATGTTATACAATTTATCTACAACTTTCATACATTATTTCTACTCGGTTATATGCAACTACAATATTGAACAACTTAAATACAAATTTTATACAATATTGTTCAACTTTCATACAATAGTGAAATAATAATTTTTCTAAATATAATGTATATCATGTCTACAATTTTTCTACAACATAATATAATTTTTCTACAATTTTATTACAATTTAGTAAATATAATGTATATCATGTCTTCTTTTTCTTTTTCTTTTTCTTTTTCTTCTTCTTATTCAAGTTTCTATCTGAAGTTCAGCCAAAATCAAGTCTAATCTTCACCAAAACACCCTCAAAATTGAGATATAAACTCCAAATCATGTGTCCAAATTGTTTGCAACAACACCCAATTCAAATAAATAATAATTTTTGAAAACCCAAATTCGAATATAAAGTTTCAAAGTTTTTTAATGGCAGTCAATGGGGAAATTGCTACTCTCTTTTCCTTTGTTTTACATTACTGAAATTAGGGATTGAGAAATAGAGAGAGGCGTAAATAGAATTCCAATTCTTTACAACAACACCCAATTCAAACAAATAATGTTTTTCAAAAAACCCAAATTCGAATTAAAGGGAAACAAACAAAACAAAAGNAAGAATAGGTGAATTATTAAAGCTAGGGAAATTAAAGAACATTGTAGGAATACCCACATCAACAATTACCCATGAACAAGCTGTTTCATTAGGGATTCCTTTGTCTGATTTAAATACACATTCAATTCTTGATTTGGCAATTGATGGTGCTGATGAAGTTGACCGAGAAATGAATTTGGTTAAAGGGAGAGGAGGGTCGTTGCTTAGGGAGAAAATGGTAGAGGCTGCTTGTAAGAAATTTATAGTTATTGTTGATGAGTCAAAGTTGGTGAGTCATTTGGGTGGAAGTGGACTTGCTATGCCTGTTGAGATTGTGCCCTTTTGTTGGGAATTTACTTTGAAAAGGTTGGAAATGTTGTTTATTGAAGCTGGTTGTGTTGGGAAGCTGAGGAGGACAGTTGGGGGTGAGCCTTATGTTACAGATAACGGGAATTATATTATTGACTTGTATTTCAAGAGTGATATGGGTGATTTAAAAGCTGCAAGTGATGCAATTTTGAGGCTTGCTGGTGTGGTTGAGCATGGCATGTTTCTTGATATGGCGACGACCGTGATTGTGGCTGGAAAACTTGGTGTCTCAGTTACTAATAAGTAGGATTATATGTTCTTTTAGGAACCTTAGTTTTCTAATTTTTAGATATTAGGATATGTTGGGGTTATTGATATTTGTACCAACCCAATTGGGGAGGTCTTACTGAACTATTTATGTAGCAAGGACAATTTAGGTGGTGCATTTGCAACAACTTAGATATTGAATTATTTGGGGGTATTTGCCTCAAATTTTGCAATCTTTGAGTTGGTGATATTTGTTATAGAATGGAAAGTTTCATGCTATTCACTACTTATTGTATGAGTGTCATTTTTTTGTGACTTGCATTTGCTCGAGTATGCTTACAGTTTTGAGGTTCATCAAGTTCTGTCACTACTTGCTATTTCATTGAACATATGTTTGATAATATTAGATTTGACGCTCTACTTTTATGAAGTGATAAATATTGCTCTGCCTATAATTTTCAACGATCAACACCTTTACTCTAGTCTTGTTCGATGGTATTTACTTTAGATAAACACGTGAGTGCTGCTAAGATAAACCTGAGGTGTCTGACTTTCTGTTATCATAAGGTTTCATAAGGAATTGTCTACTGCTATTTTGTGCAAATCGTGTTCTCTTTCAAGCAAATATAAGGGCAATGACATTGATAAAGGACTCAATGGCTTATAGCTGCATTGCGGAAAAAGTCCAAGGTCTAAGAGTATAGATTGTTTTAATTGTAACTAAAAATAAGAATGCTGATATGCAGCTCCATGTGTAATTGTACTAGAAGTTTGATTGATATGATTGTTAATTTGTTTCTCATGCTGCATCTTGTATGTTGCTTCCTAGCGGTGCTTTTGAGCTATGTATTTCAGGATATCAGATGCTTGGCATTTTCCGGTGGAACAACGTTACTTATGCCTGGTTCTAAAAGTTGTTCTCTGCTGTTTCTGTGTCGTGTTTATCGCACTTCTATGGGAAGAGGAAGATTTAGCTCAATAGGAGGATGCACGGTGAAGGAACTTTTGTTGGATGTAAAGCAGTGCTTGCTACCCGGAGCATGAACTCAGCAGAAGGAAGGTGATGTATATTCTGGTATTAAAACTTAGTAGGATACTCATTCATATTTGGCTCTTGGACTGTAACTGAATTTTAATTTGCTGGACCCTAGTTTCCTCTCCTTTTTATGTGA